TTGCCATCAGGGGTGTACATGTAGATTTATTAAATACACCTTGTGCGCCACCTAGGAACCAAATCTAGAACCCGACACTCGAAATTTTTGCTCTGTTACAATCGTACCCTGTTACAATTGACCCCACTCTCCCCTACTGATAAAAAAAAAATTAAATAAAAAAACCTCTTTAATGCATTAGATATGCATTCGAGTGGCAACAATATAGGTAAAGCTGGTAGCCATACTATTTCTTTAACAGTTTATTTGTGGGCGGGGTAATCATAGTCTGTTCCTCAAATACATTCACATTCATCAGAATGTCTGATAATTATTTCTTTCTTAATAATTTTAATTTCTATTCAAACATTAGAAAAGAATAGAAAAGTAGAATATTAGAATAGAATAGAACTTCTCTAGAACAGAAATATAAGATCTAAGATAATCTAGAATGGAATATAAATATTCTCTAGAATAGAAGAATAGAATAGAGTATTTTGCACTGACAGTTTCCTTGACTGGAGTTATACTGACAGCATCCACACGAACACTAATGACTGTTCTTTAAATGAACTGACACTCGCTCTGTTGAGTCAGTCAGAAGAAGGAAAAACAAAACTTTCTGACTGAGCGTTGTTTGTTGATGTGATATGTTGGCATCCATTTCATTTTACTTTGAAGCAGCTGCCTAGTTATTCATTTCTTTTTTTTTCTTTCTTTCTCTCTCTCTCTAGCTCTTCTTTTCTTTCTTTTTATTTTCTTCTTTTTTTTAAAGAGGTTTTAGTCGTTGCATTGGCCAAAGCAAATGCATAGATACCCTCCAAATTTCCTTATCCGAGAATAACTTATTAATTAGCCTAGGTTGTTGATGACCTAAAAGTTTCAAAAAATGTACTTAAAAAAGTTTTTTTTATTTTTTATTTTAAGTCTTTAAAAACGATTAAAACTGATCGAGAAAATGAAAAATAATGCTCTTAAAAATTTTGAAAAGACTTCTTTTTAAAAAAACTTATAAGTCAAAACTTTTTAATAATAAAACAGGATAATTTTAATTTTAAAAAAAAACTAAATATATAATAAAAATAAACATATAATTAATAACTGCATAATACAAAAATGCTTTTTTTTTTTAAAAAAAAAAAGAAAGTCTTAGAAAACGATTGAAATTAATCGAGTAAATTAAAAATAATGCTCTTTAAAACTTTGAAAACACTTTTATAAATAGTAATAAAACAGGATAATTTTAATAAAAAAAACTAAAGATATAATAAAAATAAACATGTAATGTATGAATAAAAAAACAATTTAAGTAAAAACCCTGATAAAATCAAATAAGGATTGATAAATATTTAGCTACAAACTTCAAGAACAACGTAACTTACTGTCTGAATGCAAATTATTACTCATAGAAAAACTTCGACATCGACACTTGTTATGAGAGAACACTTAAAACAGCATGATTACAAAATTTACACTTATTTACAAAGAAAAAAAAATTTAATCCGCGAGTAATATGTTCTTAAAATGAAACATATTCAAAATTCATTAAAATATAATAAAAAAATCTAAAAAAAGGAGTAATTCCTTTGCAGAGACAATATGTTTTTTGAATGACAGAGAATTTAGCTGTATAATAACCCATAATATCGATTATACATTGTACAATAACCCATAATATCGTGCAAATTTGTTGCAGCCTCAATAAGGTTATAAATTAAACCTAATTCAATTCCTACTATTAATTCACACTCTCCCTATATCTTGTACAAATTTTCAATCGTTAATAAAATACTTTTTATTCATTCACTCAAGTACAAATACATTTCTATTTATACTTGTAGTGGATGACACTTGTTGTTAATACAGTTTTTTCAAATATTAATACATTTATTTAGTTTAATTAATTTTAGTTTCATATGGGGAAAAAAATTATAATTATTTAATAAAAAGTAACTAAAATAAAATGTTTCTTTGTTAACCTAAGTAGGAATTAATTTTNTCTGTCAAAAGTACAATTTATGAAGTATCTATATAGATTTTTATGAAGAACAGTGGTTCAAACACCAATGACGGCACGAAGCCCACCCAACTTCAGATGGATGGGTGCTAGCTTGTCTGGGGGGCTGTCCCAACGTTCATCATATTATCGTGATCATGCCGTTGGTCATGAAATTGTGGAGCTTTAACCTTCTGTTCCACAGCGGGCTGTTGCGGGAATATTTTACTAGGTTGTTTATGTAATTGAGAAATGAGAAAATTTGTTAAGTATAAATTTTAAATTAATTAAAATAACAAGAACAATTAAATTAATTGTAGTCTAAACGACAAGAAAAAAATATTTCCTTTCACGTTCGGAAAAAAAAATTCTTTCTCAGTTCATGCTTGTTTTTTAACCGATAAACTAATGATCAATAAAAATACTTTTCAAATTTTATTCAAAAAATACTTTTAAAACTAGATTTTCAAAATTGTATCTAAAATGCAACACTATACCCTTGGAACAAATTACTTAGGGAAAAATTTCAGACTTCAAACATAAGTTAAAACTGGAAAAATAATAAAAAATAAAAATTTCTTCAAGAAATTTAACAATTTTATAAAGTGGATACAAGTGGGTTCTATAAAGTGGGTACAAAATTTTGATCGATGCAGAGTTACATTTCCATTTGACTCGAATGCTAAAATTCTCAGAATAAGACTATAGTCAAAGCAAAAGACTAGGATGTGAGACGATTATCTTACGTAACTATTGGATGGAATTTGCAGTTTGATTATTTTCGCTTACTTAAAACAAAACTTACATGAAACATTAAAATTTGCTTATTTTTTAAAATTTTCTTTAGATGCATAAATGAAATTTTTAAATATAAAACAAATAAATGAATGTGTCAAAAAATTGCTATACGTCGGAAATGTTTACTTCGCGAAAATTTAAAAAAAAAAAAATGCTTTGAAGTATGTTGGAGGTCAAAAGTTCTGAGAACAGAAGAACACTAAAGGTTCCCAAGGAACATTCATGTCGAAATTTTATAAAATGAATTTAAACTTAAATGTTGCATTATTACATCTGTTCATCCTCTTTTCATTTTATTACGTCTTTGCCTCTCAAAATGTCGTTTTTTATATTTAAATTTAATCCCAAAATTTGGTTACTATAGTAATATTTAAAGCTAAAACCAAAGGGGGTGGGGGTGCGATATTCTCATGTAAATATAAAAGGGGTTTTGTAATTGGGGGACAAGAGGGGAGGAGGAATCAAAAACTCCCAAAATCATTTTTATGTAAAATTTGAAAGGCTGATTTGTAAACTTAGTTCCTTCAGACAATCAAACTGCTTTCTATATTTTTCGCCTCACTTTCTTCAGTAGTGATTCATCAGAGCATGTTAAGGAGTTTATTTTTTCCTAACCGAAATATTAATATTGGATGGCCCACTGTGAATATTTTTCTGACTTAATTTTAATAAGGATATTCATTTCAGAATACCTTGCAGTATTGAACAGAACTTTTTCTTTAATATAAAATGTCTTATTTATTCCCTGAATTTAGGTTTTATAAAAAACAATTTTATTTAATACTCTTTCTAAGTATAATACATATTCACATAATCAATGTTAATAATTTATTTATTATCATTTAACATTCTAGTTAATATATGCTATTTACAGTCTCTGGCCAAATTATTAGACGCACTGTAAGATACTATGTGAAATCTTAATTACCAGGTGATATTATACAGCTGTATTGCTTTTACGCGACTGAAACCGGTTTGCACTTGTTTACGTTCGTGTTTCAATGGGTTAACATTATAATGCAATACGTTAAAAGTAAATACAAATAGGAAGTATATAAAAAAATCTCCAGAATAAAAACCCATTACATGTATGTATAAATATAAAAGTATTGCCTATAAACTCGTTCAAAACATGTCATTATTAAAACACTACAGTGCGTCTAATAATTTGGTCTAATTATTATAATATAATAATTAATACCTGATATAATAAATATTCTGTATTTGTATTATTCGTCTAATTTATATTATCTATCGTTTAATTTAAATAATTCATGCACGAGTGCAAACCGGTTTCAGCCGCGAAAAACCAATAAAGCTATATATAGTATCACCTATTAATTACGATTTTACATGGAATCTTACAGTGCTTCTAATAATTTAGCCAGGGACAGTAGGTACACAATTTTTAAGAAATGAATTAAATAGGTAAAGGGAATCCAAATGAATAATAAAAAATACTTCCATTCTAAATCAAAATATCTTAAGTCCCATAAATTAAAATATTCAAGAAGGATGTAAAAGAACAATACGGTCATAGGAAGAAAAGGGGGAAAGCACCCCGACAGGTGTTTCTATTCGAAACACACCTGCCCTTCCACTGAATGAGGAAGAGAAGAACAGGAACCAAGATTATCTTTGAAAAAAAAAACCTCCCACAAAATCCGCATCATCAACCTTTATGAAACAAAAGAACAATAAAAAAAAAAAGGCCTCCCCCAAACGGAGGCCTTTCTGCGGCTCACCATAAGGACCCGCACTTTGTTCCAATCCCTACAACAACAAAAGGGGGAGGGGTGACGATAAATGACTAAAACATTCCCCATCTAAAGTAATCACAGCAGAAAAAACCCTCACGCAGCCTCTAATGGTTCTCTTTTGCGTGACCAAATCATTTGGCTTGTAGGCGTGGTCAGTAGCGGTTTCGAAACGGCTTCTGGGAGCAGTAATCAGAAGCTAGTTTCCTATTGGCTCCTTGCTTCCAGACGGGCGTGGTAGAGAAGCGGGTGTACTACCAATAGGGAGCTCAGGTGGGCTGCGGCTACTGCGGAGCGTGAGCAACCGTGTATGCTACCACTGATCTAAACCTGGCGGATGCGCTATCGGCTGTGGTTTACCGTAAATTGCTAGCGCGGTGGGGGTTCTAATAATTTAGTCGAAGCTGTCACCTTCTAATTATGGTCCATAATTAACCACCACTTATGGGCAATTAATTTTTTTGGAGACTGATCTACTACCGCATCGGATAGCAGGTAATTTAATATTTTTTTACTTAAAATATTTATTATCATTCGCTAAATTGAACAAATTGCAATTAACTAAAAATACTACCTCATTTTTTTTAATAAAAATTGTTTTCTGTATCCTATTTTTTTTAAATTCAATACCTGTTATTAGGAGTGTATGTTTTGCACTGTGATCATCATGAAACATTGTTCTAAATTGCAATTAACACTAAATTGAAGAAATTGAAATTAACTAAAAATACTGCCTCCTATTTTAATAAATATTGCTTTCTGTATCATTTCTTTAATTTAATGCCTGTTGTTAGGAGTGCATGTTTTGCACTGCGATCATCAATGAATCATGAAACATTGTTCTAAATTGCAAATAACACAAAATTGAAGAAATTGAAATTAACTGAAAATACTGCCTCCTTTTTTAATAAATATTATTTTCTGTATCCTTTTTTTAAAATTTAATGGCTGTTAGTTGGAGTGCAAGTTATGCACTGAGATCATCAATGAATCCTGAAATATTGTCTAAATACACTTAAATTATAAAAGGTGCTTTGTGATGACAACCCTTAATGTGTATTTTTAAAATCCTATTATTCTGTTAAAAGTACAAAAACGCTGTAGTGAAGTTAATATTTATGGTGAGAAAAATATATAAAAAAACATGGAATCACTACTAAGGAAAGCGCGACAGAAAGCATCAAATCCTACTTGAAAATACCGTATTTAAGGACAATCCAACTGGTTTTGAAGTTTGCTGTCCTGCTCTCCTCAGTCGTGATTCGAAGGAGTTTTTGCTTTTTCCACCCTTAAATATTAATTAGCGGCCCCTAATGTGCATATTACTTTGATTCGTTTTTTTTTCTTTTTTTTTAAAAAAAAAGGATTTAAAAAACATGTATGTTACAGAATGTGGTAACAGAACACCCCATATTGAATCATTTCATATTGAATCATATCATATCACCCCATATTGAATCATATCTGGCTACATCTCACAAGGAATAATAGAGAAATAATATTAAAGAAATTTTTAAAAAATCCTCCTTCCAAACGAAAGCTTGGGATGGAGCTGGAGATGAAGGAGATTTTGCGAAAAATCAGCAAAAGTGGAAATTGAAACATAAAAAATAAAATTTTTTAACCTGCTTAATATTCTTAACTTGAACTCGCTTAACTTTACAAGAACAATGTTGACTACTTTTGTTTTTCCAATTCTGTTCAGTAGTTACACTTAAATTTAACACAACTGTTCTCGTGAAACTAAGAAAACTCTTTTACGTTATAATCACGGAGGATAGGAGATCTAGTACATAACACGTAGGAGAGATTATATTAATAATGGCTACATTTAAATCCTAACTATACTAATTGAACTTAATTGGCATTGTTGTAAGGATTTAGTAAATAAATATTATATTAGGAGTACATATATCAATCTAATGATAAAAAAATAGGTAAAATTAAGGATTTTTAAAAATAATTAATAAATTTTAATAATAGAGAAATTTTAAAAAAAAACAACTCCAGAGTAAAAATAACAAACTATCCCATTCTAGTATTAGAGTTTGATTATTTAAAGATTGTTAACTTCCAGATGGAATCAGTTAGCCATTGTCATGAGAATTTTAAAGTATTATTTTATAGGAATTTATGAAATGAATTTTACAATAATTTAATAAATAATTTAAGTAAAAAGTAATTTTATTAAAAATATGATTCAATAATTTTATTAGAAGCATTATTTTATTAAAAATGTAACTTTATTTAAAACTTAAATTTATTAATAAATGCTAATGAAACTATAATTTTATTGAGGTGATTTTATTGATATAATTTTATTGATGTGATTTTATAAAAAGGCAGTTTTCTAAAATACATATATAATACAAAGTAGTTTTTTTTTAAAAAAAATTACTTAATTTAAAATATACTAGCTTGCACAATCAGTTAATTCAGAGGAAGTTGACACTGAAGAAGAGGAAGTAGACATTCAAAGACACTTCCAGTTTAACATTTTGAATTCGATACCTCAAAAACTATTCGAAAGATTTCGATTAAATTTTGCACTTTGTCTTCAAAAAATTTCATTCTTTAAAATGATGTAAAAATTTGCATACCTTGCAGTTCAAAATGTTTTCGACAATCAATGAATAAAATAATAAATAATTAATAAAAATTATTTTTGCGTGGATAAAAAAATTATCTTAGGATAAAAAAAATTTTAAATTGTGTGCAAAAATGCTTCGATTCCTTTAAAATTTTCTCGACATTTGACGAAATGTGCAAAAAGTAAAATTATGACCTGCTCTACAGTTGTAACTATTGACACCCCATTTTTTCGATTTTTCCTACTTTTCTATTTTGAGAGGGATGAATCAGATTCTGCCTGAAAAAAAAGGTATGTATGTTTATTCAGAGAAAGTACGTTTTTGATTCCGGTTTCGTAAATTAAAATATCGTCAGTCATAATTAATTAGCGTTTTCGAGGTCAGGCCCTCAAATCATTGAGATTGAGTACCGGTACACGAAAATCCGATTGTTACATCAAAAATTATTCAGGGTGTTACGCACTATACTCTTTTCCCTCAATCGTCTTTGAGCTGATCTTTCTCACCGCGCAATCTCCTCCAGTTTTACTCTAATTGTCTCTTTGCATGCATTATGTCCTTCTTTACATAATGGACGACTTACATAATGCCAAATTATGCACAAATATTAACATTCGTAACTTTTGAGTTTTCATTTCAATACGTGATATTATTTCAAAAATTGTGAGACTAAAGTGTATAAAATTAGGATTTTTTTTTTTTTTTAATTTAAAAAATTTCTGCATACAAGAAAGGAGACAATTTTAAAAAAAGACCTGAAGTTTTAATTTTAGAAATTTTTAAAGATAATAAGCAATCAAGGCTAAAATCAAAGTATGAATAACTTCATGTAAAATAGATTTTAATAAAAATATGTTATAGTGAATGTAATATAGTACAGTTATCATAATAGTATAGTTATCGAATATAATATAGTCATCGTATAGCATTTTCTTTGACAGCACTTTACCTTTAAAAAAAATGGACAATTAGATAGGGAGAAATAGCTCTTGATCATTTTCAAAAATTCCACGGAATTTTCCTCAAAACTTTGAAGCAATCAAGCTCAGCGATGCGTGGTTTTAAGTCAGTCATTTAAAACGACGCATTTGTCAGCTTTTTTTTTAAATTTAATTTTAATTACAGTTTAAACTGATAAAAACTGATTATATGATAAATTGCACATTTGATAGAATGCAATTTATCATAAAATTGCTTTTATGATAAATTGCATTCCATCAAATATCTGAAAAATAGATAACTATATACCATTCATTCAGAACCTACTGAAGTGCGTATTAATGTAATTTCGACAGAGAATCTAAAATACAAGGAGCTTTATATCGCTATTAGGCGACGACTTGGCTTCCTTGGGTGACGAAAAATGCTGTCAAATAAAGTAAATATCCATCACCACGAAAAATTTAATAAAGAGAATTAAAAGCAATATTTAGAAATTTTCCTCACCGCCTCCATCTCTTCGACAATTGAGTTTGATCAAGAGGAGAGGGGGCTTCTTAAATTGCTCCTCTCTGGAAACAGTATTGAGAAACCTTAAACCAATCCGAATTCGAAATACGGAGTCTAAATTGCAATTTCAGTTTGTTTTTTCAATTTCTACTATTAGTTCACCCTCTCCCGATATCTTGTTCCAATTTTCAATCGTTAATAAAATACTTTTTATTCACCCACTCAAGTACAAACACATATTTTTTAAAATTGTTATTACAGTTTTTTCATTCATTAAATTTAAATAATTTAATTCATTCATTAAATTTAATTAATTAGTTTTAGTTTTATATGGGAGAAAATTTTTTAATTATTTAATAAAAAGTAAATGAAATAAAAATTTTCTTTGTTAACCTAAGAAGGAATTGACTTTAAAAATTTTTTTATATAACTTGTTTTTTGGTACATTTGAGGAAATTTTTACACTATATTACCATAAAGGATATTTTACACTTAAATTAGTTTTGTTTGGTGGATTGATATAAATGCATAAAATGCACAATGCGGAAAAAAAAAGACTACTCTGATTAACTTTTAATCTAATGATCGGTTCCTCACGTTCTAGGTCTCAATTTTAATGGTACGAGTCGGTAATCTCAAATATGCTAATTAATTTGTGCAGACGATATTTTAAGTTACGAAAACCGACGCAATGATGTATTTTCTCTGAATAAAAATACCTTTTTTTTCAGTGGATTCGGATTTCTGACTCCCGAAATATAAGGGGTAGTCACAATTTGGGAAATGTTAGTTTGTACAGGAGTTTGGTCAGGAGAGAGATCCAAATTTTGGACCCCCTAATGTTAATTTTATTTTTTGCGTATTTTGCTGTATCTCGAAAACTTATTATACGAATTGAAAAGATTTTATACACAAATTTAAAATTCATTTCTCCAAAGATAAATTCCATGCAAAAAAACAAATCTTAGTAAATATAATTTGATAAATCTTTTTGGAATTAAAATTAATGGAATTTTTCAATTAAAATTAAGTAGCATAAAGTGACGTAATAATTTTTATATCTCACATTTCACTATACCCTACAAAAGTTCTCAATCATTAATATATTAAATAACAAAATTAATAAAACTGTTTTGTTTTTTTCTTTCCTGCAAAAGGTTTTCCTTAAATCAAATCACTGTGGTTCATGACTAGGTTCAAAGATTTTTTTTTTCATGGCCACAATTAATTTTTTTGCAAATTGCAAATAATAAAAGTAACATTGAAATGTTTAAACTGTTATCCCAAGATTTAAAATCAAAATGCTTAAAAAAAAAGATTGTGATATTTTGTTACGTAAGAAATAGTTTTAAAAATTAAAGATAGACTTGTAAACCGGGTACCACTTTTGTTTCACACCATAATATTATAATACAGTATGCTTTATATGGCAGTCTAAAATTATTATTATTATTT